TCACGAGATTTAAGGAAAAGACGTGAAAGTTCGAGAATGGCGTGGCGTGATACTAGTCACGTGACCTCGATGTCGTAACACGACGAAACTTTAGCGACACAAGTCCTTTCTTAAATAAAACTGGTTTATTCTTTCTGAATATAACTTTGCGATACAGTTAATTTCAACAGTCGCACTATAACAAATCCTATATTTCTCAACGAACGTCGCACGTGCTTGAATTCAACAATACTCAGTTCAATTACACACTGTTCCGTCACGTTGTGACCATCTTATATATACCAGTCTACCCCCAATCTAGTAGTCTCCCGACAATTCAGGAAGGTTCGAGAAGGACGTGGCGTGATACTAGTCACGTGACCTCGTTGACGCAACAATATTTTAAGATCTCTGAGATTGTTTTCTCTTGAAAAAATAAGAGTTAGAAGGAATCTGTTTGAGGTATTCAAGTTTATTAATGTAATTATTAGTATCGATAAATTATCTTTCTTCATAATTAATGGTGAAAGTGATAGGACAAGGGAACAGAAATATAAATTTCGGCAGGGTAGGAATCTTAGACAGTTTTACTTTCCTAACATGGCTCTGCATAGCCAGGTGGTTAGGGCATTCGCCTCGCAATCTGTGGGTCGCGAGTTCGCATCCCCGTCCCAACAAACATGCTCGCCCTCACTGCCGTGGGGACGTTATAATGTGATGGTCAATCGCACTATTCGTTGGTAAAAGAGTAGCCCAAGAGTTGGCGGTGGGTGGTGATGAATAGCTGCCTTCCCTCTAGTCTTACACTGCTAAATTAGGGATGGCTAGCGCAGATAGCCCTCGTGTAGCTTTGCGCGAAATTCAAAACAAACTTTTCTAACAGGATGTTGGCCTTTGAAATGGGTTGCTTACAAATGCAGCAAAGAAGTAAATTTAAATGAGTTTAAAAGAAAACGCGATAAATATGTAACTAATAAGGGTTGGATTCATTTTTTATTAAGTGGATAGGACATCCTCGATGTACCACCAGGCCTCTTGTTATCCTAAATTATAATATTACAATAATGAATTTTATTAAGTATGTTTATTTGTTTGTTTTCTTTAGAGTGAAAATCACATTGGTCATTTGCTGTGTTCACTGCGGGAGAATTGAACCCCGAATTTTGGCGTTGTAAGTCCTTAAACTTACCGCTGTCCCACCGGTGGATTTTACTGAATAATATCATTTGTTTGTTTGAAGTTAAGCACAAAGCTACACAATGGGCTATCTGTTTCTAGCGTTGTAAGTCCGCAGACATGCCGCTATGCCAGTGGGGGGGCCTTTGAATAAGAGAAATATTATGTATATATACATATATTTCACTCTTCTCGCCGTTGAAACTGGCAACAGTGATTCAGGTGGCGCTTGAGTGAGATACTAATTTTTCTAATCATTTTTCAGAAAACGTGTGTTTGATATAAACAAGTTTGGGAAGTAGGTTACGCGATAGGTGAGTACCGATGAACCCAGTTATTTCTAGCGATATTATAAATAAGAATTGTTTATCAAATTACTTATATTCGATACTTTTTAACTTTTTCGTTAGAATCTGTGTAGTTAGCTTGCTTTGAGTTTGAATGGTTTGACACAGTGATAGGAAGTTTATGACTCATTACATTATTACCATTTGATATAATACTGTTACTAGTACTATTAGAGGTAACATATTTTAGCTTTCAAGTTCAACATCTCATTAGAAATATTTAAAATGATTGAAGTTCGACAGAAAAGTCTCCTTCTGTTGGTTGTAATTGAATTTGATTTTTTTTGTTTTGTTTTATAACTTAATTTTCTCTGTGAATAACATCAAAGATTAAGATTTTATACAAAACTGCCGATAAATAACTAGAATATTTAATAAATTAATGGTAGGATCAATTCACGTTGCCTGATTTCAAATTGGACTTGTAACTGAATTTAGTGGTTTGCTTTGACAAACCGAGAAGAATGTCCAGCTTGTTCCATAGATGTGAAGGTGTTGGCATGTCTGTGGAGATATTTCTGGGTGATTCTGTAATATTAGTGTAAAGCAGTGCTGCTCTTTTATGGATAGACTATTTACAAAAAAGATTGATAATTCTCTGGCTCATAGCTTTTACACTATTTAGTTGAATTCATAAAATATTTGTTTTAATTGAGTGTCATTCAGAATCTGAACTAACATGCACAAATGTGTAATGACTAATGTGAGTGAGTTACATTTTAGGTTATTGCATGCTTTAGTATTGGGAGGGGATGAACTCCAATATACATTATTTAAAGAATAAGGAATATCAGTGTTTTAGCACTAAACATTATAAGTTTGGTTTTTATTTTCACTTCCCAAGGAAGTTGAATAAGCTAATGCCTGAGGTTTAACTTGGAAAGATGATCATAAGTTTATGATTTCACCAAAAATGGTTAGTTAATATAAAAACCTAAAGTTTGTTTTTTATCTTGATGAGGAAACTTACCTTGTATACTGCTCATGTATTAAGCCTTTTTATGTGAAATTATAGCTTTAGGGCATACTAATAGGGATATACTTTCCAATCTGGAAATATACTGAAGAAATTCATAATTGAAAGCCTACTAGTCCACACAATTTCTTTACTATCTTGTGTTGGCAAAATCTTTTGAACATATGATTAATGCCTGGTGTATTTGATATCTGATTATCCAACATCCTTACCAAAAGCATTTGGACAACAAGAGACCACTTGATCCTTCAAGGTTACCTTTGCACACTTACCCTACAGAAAAGTAAAAATTTAAGCCCACTCTTTATCTTTCAGGAAAATTGTTGATTCTTAAATCACTTTATTGATGGATTCTACTACTAATACTAATAGCAACTAATTTCTTAAGTTAACCACCCTCTTGAAATAATAAAAACTGGATCCTAGCCTGTCTTTTCCAGGTTTTAAACTTGTGTCATATTATCTTCATAATATAGCAAAAAAGAAATTAGAGGCCTTTATATTCTTTATCTCCTGGATAATCTTATATATTTAAATAATATCACCTTTTACCCTTCTTTTCTCAAGAGAAAATAAATTAGGAGATAATAATCTAACCATGTGAGGTAACCTCTTCTATACCTAGACTCATCCTACTAGCCCTCGTCTCAATATTCTTTCCTGGCTAGGAAAACCAAGACTGTACCCAGTATTCGATCAGAGTTTAACAAGTGATTTGTATAGAGATAGTTACTTCCTTTGACTTGTAATCAATACTTTTATAAATACACAGCACAATATTTTCTTCCTATAAGATATCTTGCATCCGCTCACAAAAAGCTTTTCTTGACTTATATTGCCCTATATTGGTGCAAATTTTCATGCGCCACTAGCCTTGATACTCCCATTTATCTCTGCATACTAACATGTAAGTGACTGTGCAACAACCCTCCACCAATAGGAGTGCAACACTATCCCTATTAGAAATAGTGCCATCTCTAATCTTGCAGCTGTTAATCTCTTCTTGATTGGCAGTCTTAATAAATAGTGCTTGCATTTTAATTCACATATCCACAAATTTTGACATTCTTAATTTTTCTTCTTTAATTACATTGTTCTTTACCATTTTCATTCTTTTTTTTTTTTTTGGTGGAGAATTAAGAGTTATTTTATTTATCTTCTCTCTCAATTTCATGAGTTATGCACTCTCATTTTCAGGTGACAATGAATACATCTGCTGCAGTAGAATTACTGACAATATCCAATGGGTTGGAACCATTGTCCTCAGTCCATGAAGTGATGGCTCTAGTCTGTTGGGAATTAACCAATTTCATGCAACAATCAGAACAAACTGGTGATTATCCTATCATGGGTTTCAATGATTGAGAAGTTTTGGATTTGGACAGCCTTTTCCCCCCTCCTGAATATGCCTCTCAGCTGCGTGTTGTTTTAGGGGGACTTGCCTGGACCTCTTTCCCCTTTTGGTGTATTTGATTATTCAGGTATGTTAAGTTCTGTCCTTATCTCCCCTTTCATATGTTCCACCCCTGCCATTCTCAGGTACTAGCCTTTGGGTCATTATTTTAGTGTTTCCTAATTTCTTGAATAATGGGGTTCATCCGAGTCATTTGAGGGAGCATTTGCATTTGCGGGTTGGTATACCATGACCCCCATTTGATTATCATTGTTTCAAAAAAATTCCCTTATTTGGACTCGCAGCATTTGATGTCACTTTTCCCTTGGGGGGGATCAGACCCCAATAATTTGATTATATTTTCCTGTTTTTGTCTTACTCTAACTACCCTTCTCAGGTCAGGGCTGGTGGAGACCAGACTCCTTCAATATTCCCATGTTTGGAGGTCCTTGGTGGTTGGTCCGTGGGCTCTGAAAGTTGTTTCAATAAGTCTGGTCCTCTATTTCCATTCATCTCTCCCATTGTCTCACAATCCTGTTTCCTTGCCTCTTCATCAGAATCCAGTTTTTGCCTGTCTGATTTATTCCAAGGGCCTTCATTTTTACCACTCTATGGACATGTGGCTGTTTCTTGCCTCCTCACAAGACAACTTTGTTCTACATCCTCAATTTCTTCTCCAGGACATTGTGATGGTGGGTTGGCTTGTTAAAGTGGAGCAGTTTTCCTCCCATCCACCAAATTGTTTTGTTCATCCCAGGGTGTTTTTCAATTCCCTACTCCTCCTCCATTGGGCTGTACCTGCTACACTTATGTTGTTAACTATTAATTGTTTCGTATGCCGCATTTCCTCCTCCTGCACAAAAAGTTCTCTCTCTTTTGAAAACACGGGTTTCTCTGAAAGCACAAATTCCTCTTGGTCATACCCTCATGTGTTATCATCAGTGTGTTTTGATAAACCCATAGAGCCTTGTTTGGGATCCCTTACATGCCCTTCTTCCCCTTCTCTCTCTCCTTTATAAAATAACTTTGACTGGTGTCAGATCAGAACAATACTACCATGGGTATTCCTCCTTCTTCGGAATGTCACCTTTTACGATAGACCAGAGATTGGGGGTTGGTTGGAGCTGGACCAGCCTCTTAAGTCCTCACATGTGTTTGAATGGTACTTTTCTCCTACTGCAGACTGGAAGATAACTCCATAATGCTGCCAAGTTTTGGACTGGAGATGTAACCCCAAATAGCAGTCTCTCTTCTTACTGTCTTCTGGTTGTCAGTTTGCAGTGGATCTGGTGCTGACCTGTATTTGAAGTCAAACATGTACCACTTTTGGTCTGTCATAAGGGGTTATCATCCTTCCCATCCTACAGTCCCTCACACACCATCCTCTTTGCCTTGGCTTTTTGTACAGGGCCTTTTGGTTTCCTCTGTTGTGAGCTGTAGGGTGGTATCTGTCACTTTTCAGTTTACTTACTTTACTTGTTGTTTTCCAATTGTCAGTCTTATCCATGTGGTTTGATTCCTTCCATTTTCTCCCTGCTTTCCTTTTTGATTAGCACCTCTATGTGATCCTCCCTGTCCTTCTATGGACCTTTTGTCTTCATGTTCTTTAAATCACCTTTCCTTGAAGTTCCTATTCCTGCTTTTGTTGGTGTGCATTGTCATTCTGTTTTGTTTGCAATTGATGTTCACTGCATTTTTATTTTCCTTAGTTTTTATATTATTCTCTTCCTGATTGTTCCTTTATGTCCAAGACTTCAAGAGGGTACTTCCGCCTTCACTCCTTTTCTTACTTTTATGATCACTCGGATCCTGCTTGCCTCCTTTTCATGGTCAGAGGCTATCCAATGGTATGAGACATATTGCTTCTTTCTATGATTTCCGAGTCAATTTGTTTCTTCCATGAAAGCCTCACCTCTCCTGTGACCTTTTTCCCATTACCCTTCTGGGTTGAATTCACCTGGCATTTTTCTTCACTTTCTTTTGATGATTGTCGACTTTTTCATGTTTTCTTCCCATCAGATCCATTGTTTTATCATGTCCTTGGCTGCACATTTCTTTCTTCTCTTGGGGACATCATCAGCGCTGTAACTGTTTATTTAATTACTCCATTCATTTTATTTTTCTTCTTAGGGGACTTTATTGCATATTTGGATGCCATTCTGTGGTGACTGTTGCCTGACCATGTATATTTAGTTTTAAATGCACACTGTATGACCTTTGATGACTGTGACATTGAGGTTCTTCCTACTGTAGACCTGAAGTACAATTCTAGATGCCACCAGGTGTTGGTTGCTCAACTTTGTCAATGTGTCCTCTTTGCATAGAAATACAAAATCATAACTCATCCATCATCGTGTTCCTCACACCGTTGAGATGGGGTGCTCTGCAGGACTGCTTGTAAGTATCCCTCATGGTCTGTTGCTTCATAAATATATTTATCCCGGATCATACATTCATGGATTAACATAAGTAAAGCAGACAGGGATTACTTCCCATCTCTGATGATCTGTGACAAGGAGGCTCTTCCTACTGCAAACCTGATGTACAATTCCAGATGCTGCCTGGTGTTGGTTAGTTGACTCATTTGATGTGATTGCT